GGGTCTTTTTAATATATAAATCGTAGGCGGTGGTATACGTCATTTGGTAAACAAACATTACGAAGTTGAAGATTAATTTGTTACTCTATTAACAACAACCAAGTTTTATTTTTGCTGGTTGTTTGCGGCTTTATCAGATGTTGATAGCAGAACAGACATTGATTTTTGGCTTTGCCTGGACTCGCTCGTTCATCTTTCGATTATCTCGCTTACGCGTTTCTGTTATCACGAATAATTCTGCTAATAAGATTGATTTGACCACGAGCATTGTTTATAACTACAGCATATGTGCGTTTTTTGTTGTAACTATAAAAACCAATCATCAAGTGCACTTTAGAAACAGTTGAATCGATCGATCGAATGAAACGTGTCGCGGGTGGCCTCGGTCCCGATGCAGGTTTAAAGGTCCTGACCTCGACCTGAAAGACATTCACCAATTGCATTTTTCCCAGAGGTCCGTCAGACAAATTATTGTCAATACAATCCCCGTTGAAAACAAATCTTACAGTTGTAGGAAATTCTATTTAAAAGGTCCATTCTCCTCGTCCAGTCAACCCAGTTAAAAGAAAAGCTTGCTTTCCTTCTTGATAACACATGTTGTAACCCACTTAATACTCCTGGGAGGAAGTTGTTTAAGAAAAACCGGTAAAACAATTCATTTATCTTCCGATCTTTTAGCGTCAGCACGATACATTTATTGATTTACTTCATCCTACTCCAAGGAACAAATGTGGATAATAAAATCTAACCTGTTCCAAGCGACTACGATAGGTTAAGCTCGTACCAGGTGGCCATGAAGCCTGTCGCATTGGTTCCATCAAAATTAGACTATTGCGCTCCTCCACGTGCGAGTTATACTCACTATTCACCGATTAATATGGATTTATTGGCCTGGATACACAAATGAGTTAGGTTAGGTAGCGTTAGGTTAGGTCAGGGTGATGGAGTGGTTAGGGTAGGGACCCGTTAGTTTAATGCTTAGGCTAGGAAATTTTATCAGTCTCCATAGCCTTGATAGCGGCTCTTCAGTGATATTTACTTGATTCAGTTTTTCTTTGTTCATGAGTAGAAAGCTTTTCTTTGGCCGGCATCCGTAGTAGCAAGTGATATGTACTGAGGTTTCCTTATATAGGCTGTTTGCTACTCAATAATTTTAAGTACCATTTAGTCCGGATAGCAGACCTGAATGTTCCTGGGATTTGTTCGGCCTTGATGCAGCAAGTTTTTATTATGGACGTGTTTTTAGGCCGGATACACAAACATTTTCTCGATTTCGCGTAATCGGGGTGTGCACATGCGTTGGGTTAAGTTAGGTTAGGGCTAGGTTTAGATTAGAAGCGATCACAACTCCGATGTACGACAGAATTAAGACTAGGACGTGTCTGTATGGTTGTATATCTAACTTGATGTTTTTAAATTGCGTGTAACTTTCTCTTTAACAATTCAACGGCATCGGGGTGTATTAAGAATGAAACAGCGCGTGAGATGTCTTCAGGCCTCGTCGGATGACGGGCACGATTCTAAATACCAACGTATTTTAACATTTCCGAACGATAAATAGATAACACTTGATGTTAGTACTTCCTGTCGGAAACGACGATATAAAAATGAAATGTAATACCAAATTTTAATCTCTGAACAAAGGAAAATTGAGGGATATAAATAGGAAAAATGAGCAGACTAGGGGTGTACAAACAATTTTTATCTCTTTGTATCGTTAAAACCAGGCTTTGCCGGTGATTAATAACATTTCAATTAAATACGACCTTAACGATCGAACGACGTTCAAATTTTCGTAATTTTCAATATATCTTTTCGATTAGGATTAGGACAACTGCAAGCCAAATCAATTTAATCAATAGCGGCCTGTGGCAATTAAAATACTTAAAAAGTTCTTCCTTAATTGTTACATTTATTAATCGATAGGATCTATAATGGAAAAACTTCATGAAACTCAAACAAAAAAATAAAGGGTATGTTGATGATCCCAAATATAACATAGATTAATAACCCTTACGTACATGAACGTGCATCCACTGACTAAACCGAGAAAATTAATTAAATTAATCCAAAATAAAGAAATACGATCGACACCTAAAAAGTACAATATTAATATTATTAGAAATAATATTAACATGGATATGTTTTTGGGCTGATTAGGACAAATTTGTTTAAGTGACTTTCGCCTCATAGATTTCGAGTTACCGGGAAGTGCGCATGGGCTTGGTTAGGTTAGTTTTAGGAAAGGAATGGTTAGGTTAGATAGGGCTAGGGTTAGTGTAGTAAGGGGCGGATTAGTTTATTTTTCCCCCAACTCCTGTGGCTGAGTACTTTATTTTAAAACCAGTAAAGAACTTTCAGCGGTTTGTTGAAAAAAAACTTAGTGACTTTATAGACCTGTATCATCATTGTTAAATATATCAGTAATCAATACGGGAGCAGGTACAAAATCAACTGATCAGACTTAGGGGTATTATGATTGAGGGAAAATAACCTAACGTAACCCCGTCCCTAACCCTACGTAGCTACCGATTACTCGTTCATAGGTTAGCCGACTGTTAAAGACGGTTCAGTTACCATTTAATCACGAAATCAGTACAGACATTTAAGCGGTTTGTTGAAAAAAGCAGTAGTGATTTTATAGACCTGTTATCAAACTTGTAAATAAAATGTAAGCTGTTAAGAATGCTAGGAATCAGTACAGGATCAGTTACAAAATAAACTAATCAGCCGTAGGGGTATTATGATAGAGGGAAAATAACCTAACCTAATCTAACCTAACCTAACATTACGTAGCAAACCTCACTTAACTGGTCCAGAGGTTAGCTGAATGATAAAGACAGTTCAGTTACCAGTTAATCACTAAATAAGTATAGAACTTTTAGCGGTTGGTTGAACAAAAATCGTAGTGATTTTATAGACCTGTTATCATACTAGTAAATAAAATGTAAATTTTAAGCTATACTAGTAATCAATACGGGAGCAAGTACAAAATAAACTAATCATCCGTTTGTTTGTTTCATAGAATCCTGTGGGCGCTTTTACCTTCTTAATTAGATTAGGTTAACAATGTTTAGGTTAGCCTAGGAACGTGTTAGGTTATGCTAGGTGGGGTTAGAGACGGGTTAGGTAACATATCCTTGATTCAATGGTTTTTCGTGAATCTGAGAAAATATGACAGTGTGAAGCTACTTGCAGCGTTGAATATTAACGTCTGAATGATCTACCCTTTTTATGTCTAACTTGATGTTACGATTATAAAAAGACGATTTTAAATCGACAGGTTATTCAGGAGTGACTGCGACTTGCACAAAACAATTGTTTGACCCACCCCTTCTTGGGTCGGAACCCGTCATAGCTCATGGAATTTTAATATAAACTACATTTGACACTGATCTATTTTTTTTCTCGACTCTGAATAAACTGGGATAAAGTTTACGTTATTATGTTCCGCCAGTTTATACTTGAGTTTATAGAGTCAAAGAAATAAATGATTCTTTTAAGGTGCTTTTGTCTCAGTTTAGAGTATAACGACCGATAAAGTATACCAGTTTGGGCACAATCAAAGCTCTCTTGCCATTTTGTTATAATTTTAGATATAAACTTGTTATATGCGTCTGTTTTTGTTAGTTTGATATCTAACATCAGTAGTGGTCAGCTTAGCGAGTTTATTAACTGTTTCATTTGAAATTACCCCTGAATCACCCAACATATTACAATATCTTTGCCAATCAGTTTTAGCTCAAATAAGCACTCCATGAGATTAGGTAGTTATATATAGAGATTTATTCGCATTAAGAATTTATCCTAAAGTTTTGAAGTTGTTGAACACTGCTTAAACTATCTGTCTATCTTTAAATCTTCACTATTCTAAAGCCTTACAAAGAGCGACACCTTAAGCAGTATAAATGCTGCATGAATCGGGAAGAACAAATATCTCCTTGCGCTCATTTAATGTCATATAAGGCACAACCCGTTTTTCCATCCAAGACAGATCTGTCCGTAAAAATGAGACTGTTCAGGGAACAAATCATATCTATCAGCTTTAAATGCTTTTTGAGCCAAGTTTTAGTTATTTAACATTGCATTGTTTTCCAAATTAACAATAGGATTAATCTTAATTCTTAATCGGATTAATTTTGGATTTAAAGTTATGTAGGTTTTGCATTTTTTTGGAATATAGATTCTATAGTTAAATTTTTTTTTATGTCCGTCGCATCGTCCCTGCCCTGTCTTGTACTATAAACTATGAACAGTTAATGTGAAGTTAAAACCAGTTAATTTGGAAAAAAAGAATTAATTGGAAATTAAAAAGGGTTAATTTGACGGGGAAAACTGTATTAATTCAAAAAATATAATCAAATAAATAGTAATTCAGTGGGCGGGGTCGTCCGAGAGGCCGGTGCATGTCAAGGCACGACCTGAAGGTGGCCCTCCGAGAGCCGGAAACAAGGAATCGTCCTTACCCGATTAACCATAAGTCATTCGCGGTTGACACTCGGGCACCAGCTCTTGGGCCAAAGCCCCGCGCAGGTGCTCCTTATGCATAGAAAGTTTGCTCGATGTGTCCCACATAATAGAACTTGTCATGGTTTGGCACTTTATAGAATGCGTGTATCTGGCTTAAGGGTACTAGTGACCCCAATGTGAATTCCCATGGGGTATTGTTAGCATATCGGTGAGTTACAACCCTTCGAAGTGAAAGTCCACTCTTAGGTTTTTGAACCTCTTCTGAATTTGTAATATTTATTTTCTTTTCTGCTGTCCGTCGCGTCGCCCCTGACCCGTCTTGGATAGAAAACCGTGAAGATAGGTCATGATAAAAGTAGGCGAAAAAACCCTAGGATAGGTCATGATAAAAGTAGGCGAAAAAACCCTAGAGTTGCTTAGCGGATCGATCTCGCGTGTTTTGTTAAATCGGTCCTCGGCTCGTACTAACACGGAAAAGGATGCGCTTGCGCTCGCCTTCAACCCCACTTTTGCTTCCCGCTCTCTTCGGTTTCAAGCTCGGAGTAATCTTTTCGAGCCAGTCTGTGGGCGACAGCTGTGGGAATACTTTAGATTTATACGCGTAAATATTTCGTCGAGACCGGCCGTCATCGCTAACAAGGTACTAAATCAGTGATGATGTCACTAGTAGTCTATGCTATGACACACTGCACGTTACACGGTTTATTACAGTTTCCGGACCCTTTCAAAAGAGGAAAACTGAATCTTTCTTTTTTTTTGTTTCAGAAAAGGTAAAAGATGCCGACAAAAGAGGAAACGCCAGAACCAGCAGGTCCTCCAAGGACCGAGCTGCAAGAATTGCAACTGAAAGCCGGTCAAGTTACAGATGAGGTGAGTACTCCTTTTCTTATAAAAACAAAACCGAATAAAATAAAATCGCAACAGACCTTTTTTTAATCTCTGAATACATTCGCTATTTACATTACATGGGAAGCGAATCATTCTTACTAAATTATAACTATTACTGCAACATCTTCACTTGTGAACAACTTAAATTTTATTTTCTAGTATTCTTTTTGCACAGTAATGTTTCATTCGGCCTGAAATACTCTAAATGTATTTGAAAAAAATTGAGCAGTTTGATGGTAAAACGTGGGAGTTGCCCTTTTTAAAGTAAGTTCCTTGTAAATAAAAAAATGTGTTAATACTGAAACACCGAAATTTTTTCTTTATCTGCTGCCTGTAAAGCTACGGTTTAGATAAAGGACCTAGAAACCCTTGAAGAATTAATTTTGGTTTATAAGTTAACATCGACTTCTGAGCTTTTATGTGCCAACGGTTGTGATGAGGTCGAGTTAAAGCCGGACACTTTTCCCACCTTGAGCAAATTAGCTTTTATCTGCCATTGTTTTCCCATTGTCGCTGACACTATTTTAAAACTTGGGTTTGAACTTGAAAGGGTGTGTTTTTATCGCTGGTACACAGTATGAGTAAGGGGCGAGGAGCCCTCCTAAGGTAACGTGCAGTGTTCTTGGAATGGATAATAAATCTAGAATAGAGAGAAATAAATCTCAATAATTACAAAAAAGAACAAAAATAGCTGCATAATTATAAAAAACTGGAACTTATCTGGTAACTGAAACCTTTATCAGTCTCATAATCTACGAACGGGTTAGGTTAGGTTTAGCTAGGTGCCAGGTTAAGTTAGGGTTAGGTTACACATCCATGTTTTCACACACAATAATTTGAGTTATTAAAATGTTTGTAAATTCTTTTTACCAATGTCGCTACTTAGTTTTGGAAGATGAAAAAGAGACCAGAAGTCTGCCTTTTTTTTTAAGTGTAAGAATCTTTGGTAAAAAAGTTGGATATTTTTTACATATCCAAAACATTCAAATAAGCCTACATTTCGGTCCAACGGTTTGTATATTAGATCCTTTAAGAATTAAAATCCGGAAAGATGAGTCATCATCTCACGAGTGGCCGTGAGAAGCATGAACCTGGGATAAAACCTTTCTTCAGTATCATTAACATATAATAAACTACTTTAATTTTAATTGTGGAATTTTAAGTGTGTAAAGGCTACTTCTTGCCCTTCTGTAGTTTATTTTAAAAACAAACCTCTCCTCCATCAGTGATGTCCAAAATCCTCGAAATAACCCTTGCTTCACAGCAATTCGGCTTGTCTTCATTATTCCATGATCCAGCAAGGTTTCAATTGTTGACAGTTCCTCGGCACTGGAGAACAAATGGTATTGGTTGAATGTGTGACTGTTGTTTCAGAGTGAGGTGAGACAGTGAGTGCTCAAATATCAGACCTATACAGGGTCCCTCAAGGGAGCCTTCTCGGTCCCATCTCGTTTACCGTTTACACTTCTTTTCAACTTTTCTATACATCCCAACACGTTCCACCTGCGCAAGAATTTTGTATTCTATCCTGAATCCAATCCAAGATTGAGCTTATCAAAGACTAATGCAAAATGTGGAAGACAACTTTGAATGAGGTACACAATGTACACTCTCCATTTTACATCAATAACAAGGAGCTACCGACTTCCACTCAAGACCGATACTTTGGACTATACCTACACTGCAGACTGACCTGGCATCCCGCACAATATTACAGAAAACTTGGAAAACCAGTAAGGCTTTTAGGACGAAAATTGGTTTTGACCTTCAAAACTAAAATAAATCTAAGTAGACATTACTGCGACCACTTTGTATATACAGATTAGAACTATGGGGTTCCATCAAGCCATCCAATATCCATCGGATCCAATCAATCCATCAAATTGCCAAAGATTGACTACGTCACAAACTTACTATCCACATGACCTCAACATTGCTTTTGTCAATGCGCTGATCATATCCCGCTTCAAAAGTTCAACATCAACCTCTCGATCCATCGTAAGCCTTATCTACCCGTTCCCATCCCGTAAAATCGCCACATAGCCTTTAAACTATAATAGACTCTGGTAGAAAAGAAATTTATCTGTACGTTAATTATTATCTTAAAAAGGGTTCTCTTAAGCTTCCTGAACAGCCGGTTGCGATAATGTCTACCACGCGAAGGCACTGCTTGCTGGAATAGGTCGATGAGAGCGTCTGGATCCAGACAGGTTGGTGGAATAAAAATGGGGAGAATTTCTTCTTTTTTAATGATTCAATAGAAATAAATATATCTCTATATCAATTTCCCGTTTATTTGCAAGATTGTGTTGTTTCTGATTTGAATTTCCTGTTTTTACTGTTTTGTTGACTTGCTATATGTTGCATGTAGAGTGCTCTCGCGTGACTCATGGGCAATAAAAACAATAAAAGCACATTAAGCGTGAGTGAAGATCAAAATTATTCCGTCGTTTAGTAAGCCATTAAATTCCTGTGCTTTTTCTCTTGTTTTGCTCTATATCCTATGTTCTATGTCTTATGAACATACTTTTAAATGTATCATTGTGAAATAGTCAAACAGTCCATAATCGATTAAATAGTAATAGTATAGCCGTCAGGTAGTCTTGGTTCTTTTTTGTGCCTCTTTTTTTAGAGTTACTCGAAACTGAATCGTCTTGGCAAAAGGAAGTTTATCTGGGTCTACTGGAGACGGAAAGATGAAGGAAATGGAAGTGTCAGCCCTTGCTGAATGAAGTACGCATATAATCACCTATACAGCAACTTAACTTCTAAATTTAGCTTCTTTGTGGTTTCTTCTCACAAAACTAAGCTGGCCGATGTCTCTGCATTACCCATTTTCTTTAATTGGTAGTTAAGAGTAGAGAAGTATAAAGGCCATATCCTCAAATGGGGAGAAAGATATTCATTCGCCTTTCTTTTTATGTGATTTGCTTAACTTGCCCCATATCTGGTGTTTTCCTCGAATTTTCCATCTCCATTTTACCACACTCTCCCGTATGCCCAGTTGGGTGGCCCCATAGGTGAGAGGGACCTTTGGCTAGTTGGTCAGCCTGTTCATTTCAGGTCCCCAAACCCACATTAAGGTAGATGCAAAAATTCGAGTTATTTTAGATAATTCGCTCTTCGAGAGTTTTGTACCCCCTCTTCTGTGCCTATAGCACACAGGTGAATCACAATTATTAGGCCCTTTTTAAAAAGATAGTTCCTACTCACAGTAAGTTGTTTTGCAACGATCAGTTCCTACTCACAGTAAGTTGTTTTGCAACGATCCGGATTTCGAGCCTTTAGCTCATCATCAGGTTGAAGGACTTCTACAACCACGCCTCTCGACATGAATTGCAAAAGTGAACCCGCAGATACCCCCGCCAACGCGATGATCCAATGAGAAGCTGGTTTTTTATGCCGCTCAATTTGAACGTGCGAAAAGCGGGAATTATAACACAAGTAAATCTTATAATAGTAAACTACTCCATTCCATTTTTACTATTATAAGATTTACAGTTATATTATTATAAGTGGGAAGTTTATGGGCCGACAAACAGCTGAGGTCATCGCCAGTCCTCTGCGTGTTTTCCATCTTTTTCGTTTCTTTCGCGCATATTTACAGTTATAATTCCCGCTTTTAGCACGTTCAAAGTTGAGCGGCATTAAAAACCAGCTTCTCCTTGGAACGTCGTGTCAAAGCTCGAAATCCGGATCGTTGGAAAACAACTTACTGTGAGTAGGAACTATCTTTTTAAAAAGGATTGAACACTGCACTCACTCCATCATTCATCATTTCTATTATTAGGACCGGTTTTAGTGGTTGTATTTCTTGTACGTTGTAAATACCAAACTGGTGAAAAGTGTACCACACAGTCAGTAGATTCATCAAGGTTTCGTCTACTGATTCGCAGGGTGAATGATACCTCCCTCTAATGTCCCGTTAGGAAGCCTGTCAGGATCTTTCCGAATCTCGCCAGGAGGTTTGTGGACTTTGTCGAGTGAGTTAATTCCATCTTTTCCTTAATTTCACCATGTCTTCTTTCCTAAGGTACTCGTTGATAGTGTGAATCATTATACCAAAGAAAGGGTACAGGACCAACCAGCAACCCATTTCCTTGTAAGGCTCTTCTTTCCCCTCTACTCCTGCATGTCTGGGACCCAGTTCAATTCAATTAAATTGAGTTTTCTCAATTGCGTGGATAGCTTGAAAAATAGTGGTGTACTTACCCATGGTTTTGGTTTTCATACCAAATCGTTTTATTTCGTAGATCCGTCATTATACCAAGAAATAGTGTCTTTGTTATAGAGTAAGAAATATTATATTATTGGTAGTTATATTTGTGTATATTAAGAGTGGAAGTATTTACTAGCGTGAATGTGTCGTGTGAGATGGGCTGTGGTGGAATATCGAGATATATTGACCTTCCAAGGGTGAGGGTGCGTTAGGTCTGAAATGACATGTCTTTTCTCTTTGAGCCTAAACTCGGTGGCGAGTTTGCCATATTCCTAATTTGTCGTTGGAGTTTGTCAAATTAAAAGTAAATAAGGTAGGCATTAAATTTGACCAGATAATGCCATTTGAACTAAACATACTTAAGTTAAATTTAGAACTGAGAAGATAAAAGCTTCGTTGAAGAAAGGAGGCTTTAATGGATTTCTCATTCTTCGATAGTGGGACGAGGTGGACTTTTCTTTCCCCAAGGTATATTATACACAATATATTTTATTGTTACCCTCTCATCTGGTTAAAGTCGACTCTTGAAAATGAATAGCGATAATTTAATCATTTGGGTTTTTCTAAAAGTGTAGATAATCGTCGGAATACTTCTTAATTGAATTCGATTTTAAGTAATCAAGAAAAAAGCTCAGTTTACAAATAACAGCTTAAACTTGATATCAGTTATTGACCCATGAACTACAGGAATTTTTTCAATTCGCCATTCCAACTCTTTGTAAGAAGGGTCTCTAAAATATTGCCGATTGACTTTCCTTGTGTT